CGCGCGCCCGTCCCGGGCCCTGGCACTCGGGCCTTCCCCCACCCCTCTCCCGGCTCACCGCGCGTGCCCCGGAAGGCCTCGATGAGGAAACCCGCCTCCTCCTGGATGCGCTCCTCGATGCCGCGCTTGCCCACGCCGAAGTACCGCAGCGTCGTGATGGAGAAGCGCCGCAGCTGCTTGGCGCGGTCCCCATTGCTGAACGCCACGCCTGGGAGTAAGCACGGGGGTGGGGAGAGGTCCGAGGGCGACGGGGCTGCAGTTTCGAGGGGCTCCCGAGAGGTGGAGAGTGGGGATGGGCAGAGAGTGGAAATGGGAGAGAAACGGATACAGACCGCGCACAGGCGAAAGAGAGAGAGAGGACCCAAGAGACAGGGTCAGAGAAATACGGAAAGAGATAGCGACCGAGTAGGAAGAAGAGAACCAGAAGAGGAGACAGACAGGCAAGACAGACAGATGTCCAGAAAAACAGAGACAGGTAGGGACACTCAGTGGAGAGAGGCGGGCGTGGGAGGGAGGGGCGTGGAAGGGAAGAGGATGGCAGAGAGGGAGAAGGAGCGATCCAGCAGGAGCCAGAGAGGAAAAGGGGGAGGGGGTGAGAACTGAGATGTGGAGATCTGGGTGGAAGAAGTAGAAATTGTGAACTTCTGTTTGGGAAAGGGTTAGAAGACCGGAGCCAGAGAAGAGTAACTCATGGTCTCAGTTGACAGGGGACTGGCCCAAGAGTTACAATTTACAAACGAAACTGGAGAAGAGAGAGACAGAAAGGGTCTGAAAAGAGGAGAGATTGTTATCAGGAGATGGAAGCATGGGGGGTTTGAAGCAGAAATAGTGTGAGGTTCTATGACAGGAAGAAGAAAGAAGGGGTGTGAGGGCTGGGGTGGTGGTAGGAGAGTGAGAGCGAGAGCGAGAGTGAATGACAAAAAGACAAGTGGAGAGAGAGGACAAAAGTTTGAAAACAGAGATCCCAAGAAGTTCTAAGGGATGCAAAGAGGAGACATTCAGTGAGAGAGAGCAGGGAGAAAGGGGCAGAGAGAGGCAAGGAGAAAGTGGGACACAGAACAAAGACAAGCCACTGACTGACAGAGGGAGAGCAGCAATGAATGTGATGGGGAGAGAAGACCAAATGAAGGACTCTGCCACAGCCGTGAGGGGGCAGGCGGGTCGGAGGAGAAGGCTGGAGAAACTGAGGCCACCAATCTGCCAGCCCCCATTACCCCCCCTAGAGCCCCCCTCACCATAGCCTTTGAAGAGCCAGTTGAAGGTGGCCTGCTCTCCTCGCCCGCCGAACTCCTCAGCCTGGTCCACCAGAGCCTCCTTGACTGCGTCATATCCACACAGCACCACGACCCGCCGGGGCCCCAGGTGAATGGTGAACACAGAGCCATAGCGCTCACTGATCTGATGGAGATAGGTGGGAGTGGTGAGAAGGAGCAGCCCCTACCCCGAATGGGTCCAGTCACGAGACCTCAAACTGGAATGCATTTCTCCCACATCCTGACCGTCAAGGGGCTGCACATCCCAAGATCTGGTCTTTCCTGCCCAGGACCCTGATGCTGAACCTTCAGAACTCCCCTTTCCTAAGTCTCTGGTGCAACCTGGTCAATCCCCTGCCACAAAACCCCAGCCAAACTGGGCAGCTTCCGTCCCGTCCCATCCCACCCCACCCATCTGCCTGCCTTGTGACACCTTCATGAGGGAGTTGTACATCTGCTCTGTGTTCAGCTGCAGGTAGTTCCCAATGAAGGGCAGTGGGGTGGGTCCGGGAGGTAGCTTTCCCCAGATCTTCCTCTGCCGCCAGACAGACATCAAGACCATCACCATCAGGCAGGCCAGCAAGGTCACCAGGAGCAGCCCTGAGGCCAGCATGGTGGCAGTGATGGTGATAGCTGGAATGGTTTGCCTTTATACTACTTGAAAGAGAAGGGTGAACTTTGGTTGATTATATAATAGATTCATTTCACCTCTACCATGCACCCCGCCTATCTTGGGGCACAGCCAGCCAGGGAGCAGGGGGAGGCCCCACGGGCTGTGTTTGGATTTAAGGAAGGGCAGTAAATAAACTGTAGAACTGAAGAATTGGGAATATTTCCAATTTCGAGATTTGGAAATGGGGTCTCAGGGTAAGCATGGACCCCAAAGTTGTGGATTTGGGGTTTCAGAGGAGTGGAATCCAAAGGTCCAGATTTTATGGGGGTGATACAGGGAGTGTGGCTGTGGATTTGAGGGTCTATCAGAGAGGAAGGATATAGTTTTAAGGGTCTAAGGAGGGGGAGATCCCAGAGATACGGATTTGAGAGTCTTGAGGCAAGGAAAGACCCAGGACTGTGGATATTGAACTCCTGGGAGGAGATGTGTTTAGAAAGTCTAGCAGGATCCTGAAATTAGTACCTTTTGCTTTGACCCAGTGCTGTCTCTCAATGCCCCAAATCCTCACTGACACCTCAGAGTGGGTGCCATAAAACCTCTACTGCCCATCTCTGGTTGGGAAAGGAGTAGACGACCAGAGCCACATTCCAGTGGAACTTCCCACAGACCCAGAGAAGAGTAACTCATGGTCTCAGTTAGTAGTAGGACTGGCCAGGTTTTGGAAAATAGTAATAACAACCATCGATATGGTGGAAATTCCCAACTGTCCCAAGGGTTATAATTTATAGTGAGCCACACTGGTTTCCTACCCAGATCCTTAGGGGAGCCCACTAGATTTATTGTATCATTTATATTATCATTGTTGTTATTATTGTTTTTCATTTTTATACATGGGTATACCAAGAACAGAAAACAGGGTGGGCAGAGGGTAAATATGTGAGAGGTCATAAAGCCCAAGGCCTTGCGCTCCTGTCTCTCCTACTCTGGATTCTTAGTGTCCCCATTCTGGGTTTGGTTTCTCCACCAGTGGAAATGGAGTATTTGGGAGGAGAAGGTCATACTTGAGACTGTGTGAAGTCTCCTTTCAGGATGAGTCCTGGTTTGTCAGGGCCCACCATTAGCAGACAGGGGAAACTATTGAAGAGATTCGGGTTAAACTCCAGTGTGGGGAACTGAGGTGGACACTGGGATGGGTGGGAGCAGAGGAGGGATGAGTGTCCCTGCTATCCTTCCCTCAGGGAAATTATTCCCTCATAATGACAGTTACTCTAGGGTAAGCACTTGCTGTATTCTAAGAAGATTAAGTCTGTGTGCATGATCTCATTGAATCTTTGTAACAATGAAATTGGTTCATCATCATTCTTACTTTGAAGATGAGCAGGTCAAGACCCCATAAAATCGTTTGCTTGCAGTCACATGGGTAATAAGCAAGGGAGCTGCGATAAGAACTCTTTCTTCATCTCCCTTCACTGACTGACTAGTTCACCTGGGAATCAAGAGGTCATCAGGTTTAGCAGCAGGTAGGTGTTGAGATTGGCATCAGCAGTGGGCACAGGATTTACATTCATGAGTTCTGATGTCAGCATTGGGTAGGTCTGTGGAGGGAGGGGCATCATGTTGGCATTGGTGCTTCTCCCAGGTATGTGCTATCATGGGAAATAAGTTGGCACTGAACTTGATGCCAGGAGAATATTAGTAGAGCCACCCCTGGTCCCGAGAGGTCTATGAGAGTTGGTCTAGGTGGTCACTGAGGTTGACTTCAGGAGGGCGTAAGAATGGCATCATTAACGGCCCCAGTAAGCTCTGACATGAGCATTAGGTAGGTGCTGAGGTTGGTCCTATGTGGGCCTGAGTTTGGCCTCAGCTAGACCTTAAGAGAAGTTCCAGGTGAACCCTGGACTGGCTCTGATGATTGGATCATCCAGATTGCGCCCTAGCTCAGGGTCTCTAACTTTGGACAAGTGGAGGTGGGTGAGCTTGGCACTCCCGGGATTGGCATCTTGTTCAAAGTGTTTTAGACCGCTGAGCTCTGAGACCTGTGGGGTGGGAACAAAGGGCAGACAACAAAGGAGAGAGAGTAAAGTTGTTTGTTGATTTTGGAGGAGAAGAGGTGGGAAGGAGGATTAACACTGGCTTGGCAGATATCGTTCCCCCTAATCCTGATCACCAGCCTGCACCTGGGCTGGCCCCAAGCCTGTGTCCTACCTCTCCCCTTGTTTCTTAAAAAGGAAGTTGGTAGTAATTTGAGAAGTTGGCCTCTCAACGAGGTTAGCACCAGGTAGGGAACTGAGTGTTCAGACAGGCTGCCATGAGTTGACCAGGGACGGGATGGGAAAAGTCAGATTGGGAGAAATGTAGAATCTAGGGACAGAGAGGGCAAGCGAATTTGGCCTTATTGATCACCTGGGAATGTGTAGTGAGAGAGCACTGTCTGAAGTCACATGAAAGGGACACATCCCAGTGGGCAGTGGCTTTAGTACTGGCTTCTAGAGTTAGCTGGTGGTGAACCCACGAAAGTATCTTTGCTGTGCCTCAGTTTCCCTTTGTGGATGATGGTTCAGTGGTTAAGAGTTTGGTTAAGGCATGGATTGGAATCCTAACTTTATCCCTACCCTGGGTGTGACCTTGAACTGCTGACTTCTCTCTGAGCCTTGTGGAGCCAGTGACAGCAGTCACCTACGAGGCTTTTTAGGTGAGGAGTGTATGGGTGAATGCATGTGAAGTACACAGCAGTAAGTGCTCAGTACATATTAGCTGTTATTAATCCTTCAGACGAAGGAGATGGATGAAATGTTCTCTAAGTCTCCTCCTGGCTTTTACAGGTCTAGAATCCCCAAAGGTTTTCTTTGAAAAAGGGGGAAAAGAATTTTGTGGTAACCTTCTTCCTCAGCACAGACAAGAATTTCCCCATAAAACTGTGAACATAAAAAGTTAATCCTGGGTGGCCTCCAGGAGGGTGGTGCTGGATTAAGAATTAGGTGTAAGAGTACTCAAAAAAAAAAAAAAAAAAGAAAGAAAGAAAGAAAGAAAAGAAAAAGAAAGAATTAGGTACAGAAGGGTAGACCCTCTGATTGCTCTGGATGTGTCTGGAGCTCTGTCTTTCTCTCTTTCTCCTTTCCTGCAAATCATCTTTCCCCTTAACCTCCTTGTGTCCTTGGGCATTTTTGAATGTTTGTGTCATTTTGTCCAGTGGAGTCTCCTAGATGCCCTCCATCACAGTTATCCTTATTTATACATCTGTCTGTGTTTGTCATTCTGACTGCATGCTTGGAGTGTCTTCTGCATGTATGTTTCAGTGTATCCATGTTGATTGCCATGATAAATTTATTTATGCACCAGTCTTTGTGGGAAATGTGTCTGTGCTTGGTACATGGGTAACCATACCAGTTTATGTCTACATGTTCATATCATGTGTGAGTGACTCATGGGGTTTGTCTGTGTCCGTGCCATTCTGCCTGAATGCCTACCAGTCTCTGCATCTGTCTTTGTGTGTAACATGAGTACACTCATGCTTTGGGATATTTCAGTTGGAGAATGTCTAGGGCATGTATCTCTGTGTCCAACCTGAAGTGTGACTGAGTATTCACATTTGTGTGTATGTGTGCATGACTGGGTGACTACATGTAAGTATATGCATAGTTTTTGTGTGTGCCTTCTGGGGTCTATGTGCAGACACATGGGCTATTATGTACACATGAACATCTGATACCTGCCTATACCTATCTGGATTTGGATTAAAATATAACTGGCCCAGCTCCATTTTTCCTCTTTAAAGAAAGACTGTGAAGCTTTTTATGAGCATGATCTCATTTAAACTCTTCTTCACAAGACTGAGGAGTTGGGTTTATCATCTCCGTTTGCAAATTAATTAGGTAATGCCCTAAACGCTGGAAGTGATTTGCTTTGAGGCCCACAGCTCATGAAGCTAGAGCCTGTGAATTCCACACTCTTAAACACCAGACTGGACTGCCAAGCCCCATTTATTTTTCATTATGAAACATCGAAACCTGCCCCTAATCTCCTGTTGTTCTTGAAAAACATCCCTGTAATCGTGAAACAAAAGATTTCAAAATGTTAAGAAAAAAAAAGTCTTCTAGTAGGAGGGAGGCTTGACCTTCTAAAGTTTGTATTCTTTGGAACCTTAACCAAAGATCTGGGCAACCATTGTAGCCCTCAGGCCATTGGCATGGAGGCGATGGGGGATCCTGGGGAGCTAGTGGTTGTGGTCAGAGTGAAGTGTTTGTGTTTCTGAATTCAGAGTGATGACAAGGATTAGGGTTGGGCCGTGGGAGTGTTGGTTGAAACAGTGCAAAGTGAGTCAAAGAGGATTTAAAAAGTTAAGGCTCTTTCTTTCTGGTTGTGTGCACAGCTCATTTCCATGACCACTAAAGTGCCTCCCTACCAAGATTTTGGTAGGACTTAGAGTAGAGGGAGGGGAAGGAAGTATGACAGATGACAAAGATTGACTTTTTAAAAAGAGAGTGAAAGTGTCATCGTCTGCAAGTGCATGAAAGAGTTTTTCTGGTAATGGTTGAGTAGCTTCTATTGGAACAAGCATTTTGCAAATAACAACTGTTAACTTTGAATAATACATTTTTTAAAACCCCATTCTCTGAAATCCCTGGAGAGTACACAGCGTAGCAGAGACTAAAGAGGGTTGAAAGAAGGAGACTTCCTTTATTATAAAATAGCTTTTGCCTTCTTTACTACAGGAAGAATGGGAGATTGGGCTACTGCAAATTTATCCCCAAATATTTTTCATCTTATTAAAATCTTTTAAAATGCAGACCACTTATTGACTGGAAAGACAGTGTGAACTAACAATTCCTAAGGGAACTAAAAAATATTTTAACATGCTATGTCTCTTTAAAAGTAGAAAGGTGATCAAGATGGAGACTAGATGCATCTACTATGTGCCTCCTCCAGGTAGAGGAATGAGAATAGTAATAGATACATTTTGAAGAGATCATCTAGGAGAGTTTGCTAGGATTCATCAGAAAAGAGATGGGAAGCACTAAAAGTAAGTAAAGAGAGGCAGCTTGCTGGCTAGGGACTGATTGAGAACTGGGAGAATCTCCTGGACTGGGAGAAACAGCAAGAGAGAAACCCCCATGGCACCACACTTTGGAATGGGCTTTTATGGTCTTGGCTACAGGAGAA